GCAGTGATATTTGGGAGAATGAATGCACGAATGAATGATTAGATGAACTTCCCATTGGAACCACCGCAGAGTAAGCCCTTCAGAATGAGGCCCCTTGGCCCTGGCCTGAGATGGGTTCCGCCCGCCCTGCCTGTGAGGGGAGAGCTAAAACAGATGCCTTCTTTTTTTTATTTATTTTTAATTGAAATATAGTCAGTTTACAATGTGTCAATTTCTGGTGGACAGCACAGTGCTTCAGTCATATACGAACATACATATATTCGTTTTCATACTGTTTTTCACCATAAGTTACTACAAAGTATTGAATATAGTTCCCTTTGCTCTGCAGTATGAACTTCTTGTTTATCTATAGAACAGATTCCTTCTGAAACGCCCTTCTGCATCAAGGATTCAGAGACCACTGCCTTCAGGGACATTTCTAAATGTCATGAGGTTTGGTCTGGGGTAGGCATCACCAGCCTAGGAAGAAGCGGGACCTTAATGCCTTGGAAGTCTCTCATTAGAGACTTCCAGGCGAAGCTTTCACTACCAATAAGACGAGCGTCGCCTCTTCCTCACCTCTACTTGCCATTACAGGTTGTAGCCGTGGCCTCAGGGATTCATTACAAAGTCTTCTCTTGTGTGTTGACATGCAGGTACTGTGTGGTTTTACTGACCACTGAGGCTGCCAAGTTGAGTAAACCCTTCGAGGCCTTTCTGTCCTTTGCTCTGGCAAACACACGAGACACAGTGAGATTCGTGCACGTCTACAGCAATCGGCAGCAGGAGTTTGCCAACACCTTACGACCAGACAGTGACGCGTTTCGAGGAAAATCTGCGGTGAGTCATGGATTCTGTCCTGGTCCTAAGCTCTTCACAAGCACCTGGCACCTAAATCCATTTCCTCCTTCCTCCAGATTTTTGAATAAAAATTCCAGGAAATCCAGAAATCTCTAAAGCCTGTTCTGAAAGCACTCTTAACCTAGTCTTATACCCTGGGGATTTCACCTCCTAGATTTTCAGCTTTGGGCCTTCACAGACGGCATCTTCCCTGTGGGTAAAGATTAAAGAGCATCTGTTCTCTCCACCAGTCTTTCCCTTTGGCAGGTCCGAGTTTGTAAAATCTTTCTTAGGCTACCAGTAACGTGCTTCCGAAATTTCCCCTTCCTGTGCTTCTGCCTCTTTAACTTCTCCCTAACTGATCTCGCCTTCCTTTCCCCTCCTTTGTCATCACTCTCTGCAGAAGCACGAAATCCTTCTCTTTTTCATCATTTTGGTAATCATGGAAAATCTCTCTAAAAAACAAAGGTTTCCTTCATTATGACCTTAAGTCAGAGGTTACGGAGCCAAATCTATTGAGAAGAAAGAGCTTGAACTTTTAAAAGAAGCTTTGGAAAGTCTCCATAAAGCTAATTTCTCTTGTCAGAAAAATTTTAATCTCTCGCAAATATTGTATAGTCATCCGTGTCTGTGTTTGAGCTTATTGCTGACTTCACTAGACCCTTTTTTCCATCTTCCCGGAAAAACAACCAAATAACAATAACTTAGGATTCTTTTGAGAACTCAGATGGTCTTCTCTCTTTCCCTCCCAGGTATCTATCTTAGAAAGGCGCAACACGGCGGGTAGGGTGGTGTACAAAACGCTGGAGGATCCCTGGACTGGGAGCGAGAGCGATAAGTTCATCCTTTTGGGTTATCTTGACCAGCTGCGGAAAGACCCAGCTCTTCTGTCCTCGGAGGCTGTGCTCCCCGACTTGACCGATGAGCTTGCCCCTGTAAGCACGTGGCCCAGGAGAGCGGTCACCCGACAGCGCTGTGTCCCCGGGGGAGAGGGGCGGGGCGGGGGCGGGGGCGTCTCTCTCCAGGGCTCAGGGGCCCAGTCCTGACTGTCTCGTGCATTTCCTCCTTCACAGATCTTTCTCCTCCGGTGGTTCTACTCTGCTGCTGGCTACGTCTCAGACTGCTGGGACAGCTTATTTCACAGCAACTGGTAGGAATATCTCCAGCCTGAGTTCCTTTTTCTTCCTTACTACCAGGACCACTGCTTTTCTTTTGAAAAGATTCCACAAAGGATTTCAGCATAGACTCCTTACAGACAAGTGGAAGAGTGTTTACATTTTTTCAGCAATTTGTTTCCCTTTTTTTTCATATTTGCTGATTGACCCTTTCCCGCTGGTTGGGAAAGAAAGGATAACCCTGGCTGCCCTTTCGGACAGTAGAGCCTAGGACCGTCCTCTTCATCAGCGCACCTCTGGTGCCCAGCACAGGGCCTGTCACATGGAGTCCAGGGGAAAGATGTACAAGCGAATCAGTGAATTAATCAGAGAAGGGAGGGACATACCACCCCCACCTCCAGTAAGACCGAGAGCTCCCGAAGGACAGACCACGTCTCACTCACGTTTGTGATTCCTGGCACCCAGCACAGCTCCCAAAAGACAGCAGGCCTTTCGTGGGTGAATAAAATTCCAGAACACCAGTCCTAGAGGAGATCTTGAGAAGTCAGCTTTTTTCTCCCTACCCCACCCCTCTGGGCCACATCTGAATTATTCCAGCCAGGGAAGAAAAAGGTCAGAATCAAAGAAATAATTCCACAGACTTTTTAGTCAGCTGATACTACCCTTGACATCAGAATGTTCCATATGTTCACAGCTTAAGCCTTTGTTTCCCCTCTTAACTGTTCCCTTCTGCATAATTTATTCAGCACAGCCTATTTAATGCTGAGACATAAGTCAAATTTTTTGAGTAAGTGATCTGTGAATTAGAACAGTGAGAAAAAAAAAAATCTGTGCTTTCACCACCACCACCATCCAAAAAACCTCTATTTGTATGAAATTAGAAAGTGTTTATTAACAGGAAAGCTTTTTGGTTTGGGGTTGTTTAGGGTTGTTTTGAGCCAGAGAGAAGAAACCTAAAACCATTCATTGACACGTGCCAGCAGCCCAGTAGAGCTGACCAGAGTTTGTTAACTTCATTTTAGGCGGGAAATGATGCCCCTTCTGTCCCTGGTCTTCTCTGCCCTCTTCATCCTCTTCGGCACTGTCATCATTCAGGCTTTCAGGTAAGATCCTCCCTGGCTCCTCTGTGCAGTGTCTGAAGGGTGAGCCCCAAACCTTCTTAGTGGTTTTTTGGGAAAACTCCTTTTTCTTCCTCTAGTGACTCAAACGATGAGCGGGAGTCCAGCCCTCCAGATAAAGAGGAAGCCCATGAGAAGACCGGGAAGACAGAGCCAAGCTTCACCAAGGAGCATAGCAGGTTGCTCTAACGAGAGGCCAAACCCACCCCATCCCTACCCCCACAGCAGACCCACAGCCCATGGAGTCTGGTAAAGCGGCGTCCGAGTGTATAGTACATCTCAGGACTCTGGTTCCCCTCCTTGTGTGAGATGTGCGTTTAGGGAAAAGTCACTACTAACAGGTGTTGACTGGGCCCATCTAGGCATTTAGACACAGGACTAGTTATCTTCTACTCAGTACCCTCAGTTTCTCAATCTCAGATTTAACGATGAAGGCAAGAAGCCAAGAAATACGCCAGGGAGATGCTGGGTGAGCCAGAAGCAGAGAATGGTGCATCACCATAACCGTGTGGATGGCCTTCATCCTGTCCTAAAGCCGCTTCTACACCCACTGAACGGCAGCATCTGAAGGGCTCTTTGTAAGCCCAGCATGACCAAATCAGGATCAGTCTTGTCCTGCCAGTGTGTCAGGCTTGAGAATATTAAATAACAGATCTAATCTGGTTAGAGCATAGTTTCTTCCACTCATTCCTTTTAAAAGTGATGGCATTCCCCTATCCTACAAAATTTTCATTCCTCGATATTTTTCCACAGCAAGATTCCTAAAAAAGGCTTCGTGGAGGTAACTGAACTCACAGATGTAACGTACACCAGTAACTTGGTACGCCTGAGGCCAGGCCACATGAATGTGGTCCTTATCCTGTCAAATTCCACCAAGACCAGCCTGCTGCAGAAATTCGCTTTGGAGGTCTACACATTCACTGGGTAGGCTTGTGTGTGCAGATGAGAGATGGCGGGGGAAAGGGGTGGGAGGGAAATTTCCTCCTTGACCGTGACGGGCTTTCTCCATGCAGCTAGATGTGGGCTGTGACCTTTCCAACCCAGAAATCTAAGCCGTCATACAGGACCCTTTTTTCCCCTTGACTGTTGTTTCTGAACAGAAGAGGCTGAACTCAGTCTCCTTCCCTGAGCCCTTTCAGGATGCTCTCTTCTCTAGCTCTTGTGCATTTTCCTGATGCCAGACACTGAGAGGGGCGTGAGTGACGGCCAGCAAGGGACAGGGAAGGGATGTTGCAGCTGTTGTAGAGGCCCTCCGGCTCCTGCAAAAGCCCTTCATTTTTTCTGCATTCAGGCCCCCATCCAACACAAAGCCTGTTTCTATTATTTGAAATCTGACTGAGGTATTTTTGTTCCCTGCGATTGGATGTGTCATGAAATGTGTCCTAAATCCTCACTGTGTTTGTCCTACAGGAGCAGCTGCCTCCATTTTTCCTTCCTGAGTCTAGATAAACACAGAGAATGGCTAGAATACTTACTAGAATTTGCTCAAGATGCAGCCCCAATCCCAAACCAGTATGACAAGCATTTCATGGAACGGGACTACACTGGCTACGTCCTGGCTCTGAATGGCCACAAAAAATACTTCTGCCTCTTCAAACCCCAAAAAACAGTCGAGGAGGAGGAAGCCATGGGGTCGTGCAGTGATCTTGACTCCTCCCTCCATCTGGGTGAATCTCGAGGGAAAACTTCCTATGGCCTTGGATCCAAGCCCATCAAAGGAAAATTGAGCAAGTTGTCCTTATGGATGGAACGGCTGCTGGAAGGCTCCTTACAGAGGTTTTATATCCCGTCATGGCCTGAACTAGACTGAGAAGATTTCAAAAAGAGACTTAAACTCTTCAGACTTTTTAACAGGCCCCCTTGAACAGGTATTTTCAGGACTCAAACAATTGCAAAGGACAGAGTATAGATTTTAGCTTATTCTTCTAGAACAATGGCTAGAAGAATCTTTCCTTTGTCCTCTTCTAACCTAGGAGTGAAAAACACCGCCCGTTGAATTCCCTAGAGCAAAAGATTTTCCTTTGGGTGTCTTTTTTCCCCTCATTTGAATGCCGCACTATTTAAAACAGACTGCTCATTCTCTCTCTCTGTCATCCCCACCACATGCTCGCCCTCCCCTGTCCTGCCTCTGTGCTGTGGGAGAAGCACGGGCCTCAACCCTGCAGCGGAACCTGGAGGGACCCTCGCGAGCCTGGTGTGCTGGTCAGGTCATTTCCCGCCTCCACCCTGCCACGCCTCCCCAGCCCGCCCTCACCCCACCCACCCCCCACCCCACCCCTGCCTGGCCTGTGCTGGGCTTCTGCCTCAGTGGATGCTGTAGCAATGGGACAACCCACGGCAGCTTCTGGGCCCTGCATCTCAGAAGAGGCCTAGTTCCAAGTCTTACATTAATAGTTTCCCTGGTAGCAAATGGCTAAAAGTACATTTTGGGGGTATCCCCCTACAACAGTTTGTCAGCCACGGTTTTAAAAGCATAGGGTTGAGTTGGGGGTTCTGCATGTAAGTTTGGGTTTCTTCCCAAGACAAGAGAGAAGGGTCAGCTGGTCAGAGACTGAAGCGATGCCTCAGTGAGCATCTTGGCAGCCGCCTCCCCAGCACTAAAGGTAGCCGGGGAGGGATCTGCACAGCAAGCAGTACTGTAATGACCTTGAGCCATTTGCGAGTATGTTTCCAGATGCCTTTCTGCCTCTGTCAGTTTTAGGGTATGGGTATTAGGAGCCATAACTTGTAATCTTCTCTGAACATAGAGATGAGCTGCTATAAGCCAGTAGATGTTCAACTGAAGACATTATTCCTGCCATGAGTCAGGTTCAGAGAACCTCTTCCCTCCAGCGGTGTCTCTTTAGTAAAATACCAGACATGTCTTTGTATCAAGGAACTTAAAATTTCTCAACAATTGTATTTTGAACACTGTTACCCTCAAAGTGCTGTATCTTCCCGTCCTCTTTCATGAGCCAATACTTGTTTTAGACTCCTGTTTTGCTTACGTTGAGCTTCTGGCCTATATTTTGATGTCTCATCTTAATTGTTTTCACTCTTAACCTGCAACTGCTTCACTGGTAACAGGGTGAGACCTGTCATCAGCAACCTAGCCCACTCAGTTCCAGTGAACAGTGGGCTCCGGGCAGGATCGTACCAGCGAGTTAGAGAGCTTACCTTTTCTTTTTAGAGCAAATCACCAGTGGAGTTTGGACAACCTCAGAGAGTTCAAATGTCAAAGCATATTGTCCTTTTGTAAAGTGAAGAGTCAAAAATCACTGATGGGACAAAATAGGTTAGTAATTTCTTTAATCATAACTGCTTTAAACTAAGCCATTTGGACCCTGAATAATTTAAATATTGAGCTTACAGTGGCACGTAATAAATTACTTGAGCCCAGAAATTCCTGCAGTTTTCATGGAATCTATAGCTTTATTTTAAAAACTAAAGAAATCACTGCCAGACTTTATTTTTCCACATGCTCCTCTAAAAATGGATGTATATTCTGATTGTCATATCTCATGGCACCTGGCCCAGGTAAAAGTGATCAAGGAATTCATTTTTGGCTCCTTGATGCACCAAGTACTTAAAAAAATTTTTTTCTGTCTTTTATGGCCGAGTTGCTTATATGAGTAGTGTTTTGGTTCAGTGGTACTTTTTTTTTTTTAATTTCTGGTACTAATGGGATTCCTGACCTTAATTTCTGAAAACCAAAAAATCCCCAGATTTTTTCATTAAAAAAATTTTTATCATTGAAATAAAAAGCACCTTCAGACAGCTGCATCTTTTATTTGTACCAAGAAAAGAAGGTGATAATGGTGAAAACATTTCTAACAAATACTTCAATCTGAAAAACAGTCTCCTACGGATACATTTGGGGATGGTAGATATGTCCCACAAGAGGACACTAGGAAGCTTTTATTTTAAACTGACCCTTACCCTTGACCACCCAAGCCTTTCCTCCTGAATGTTGTTCCATGAATTTGTTTACCTTTGTGTCAAATGTCTGAGCCACTGTCTTGCTCAGCCAATGCCACCATGTTTCTTTGTCACATGTGTAATCTCACAGACCCAAATTTGGCTTTAACTTCGTAGTCTTTGAGTATCTTGAAACGGACAACACTGATGTTTTTAGAGGTAGGTTTTTCTCGTTGATACAGATTATGCATCATGTTTAGCAGATGGGGACAAAAACTGGCCTAAAACAAATCTTTATAGATAAATCACCCATTTAAAAAATGTTGTTTTATTAGCCCAGGGGTTGGTGGCAGTTTGCCTAACACAGAGTTTGTTAGCTCCAACTAAACATTTCAGTGAGGGAGCCTGCCCTGACTTCCGTTAGGCACCACGGTCTTGCTGCCATCACTTGTTGATCATGAAAATTTGGTTGTGGTTCTCAAATAATAGGTTGATCTCCCCCTCATTCAGTATATAAACGTTCTCCTGATATAAAAGAAATGGGACCTGAATGTGTTTTAAGTGATTTGCATTGTTTGGGGAAAGGGATTAGGAGCAAACACTGGAACATTTTTTCCTGAGTAAAATTATCAAAAAAGCTGATGCAAAACATCTTTACAGATAATGTTGCTCACGTCCAAATACCTGACACCGTCTCTTGAAAACAGTTGCAGCATGGCAGCTGCTGAATCTGTCCATTCAGTTTGTCAAGGAGGATGATTATACTTTCGAGACAGACCTGAAAAGAAGGTGAATATTTTGCACTTTTGATACTCTTAGGAACAAATAACTTATTTGGCAAATGGTGTCTTTTTTTTATGTTGTTTTTTGTTTTCTATTGTGAACAGGCACTGAAGCTGATGTTACTTTGTTTTAAGAATATTACAGACTGGAAACAGAAATAAACTATTTTAATGTGTGATGATTATGGGTAGTTCTTACGTCACAAGATGACAACTTGATCGTGGACACATTAGCAAAACTGCATTTGCATGTAATTCAACACACACTTAAGATCAGCACGCCTTGACTGCAGATTTCAGAAATTGCTGTCATAGAGGGTGGATCAGCCTGAAGAGAAGATAATACAAAACTGAGGCTTAGAGGCAGTGGGTTAAGGAAGTGTCATTAATAGCTCTTAACCCTGGGCTCAACCCCAAGTACCTCCATTAAAATAATAAATAAAACCTTATTACCTCCTCCCCAAAAAGAAAAAAAAAAGTTTTAATTAATTTTTTTTCAAATAGCTCTTTGGAGGTCAGCTGATGTCATCTGGTTTAGAAAATGTTCGTGCAGCCTCCTGGGGTTTTGTGTGGGAAGCTTCTTTGTTAGGATCTCCATGTTACTTTCTTTCAAACTTTTTTATATTCACAATCCTAAAACCAAGGTGCAGTCCTCAGCTCCTCAGAGGGGGAGCTATATTTTAAAGGAGGATATTAGAGAAATATGGAATGTTTCTGTAGTATTATTTCACAGGGTTTTTTTCATTTCATTCCTCCAGATTTTAGATAATCAATTTTCCATCCCTTTCCCCTTTCTTCTCCATCACACTTGATCTTAGCCAAAAGGCTGAGAAGTGATCTCCTCCATCACCATTGAAGGGAAAAAAAAAAAATCAAAGCAGCAGAAGTGTTTTTTTTTTTTTAAGTTAATTCAGACTCCTTAAGAACATCAGCTATTTGGATCAGAGTTCTACTGAATGCCCTGATTTTACAGCCAACCAATGACACTTCTGATGGAAAGTTTTATTGGCATAAACTCTTGTACTCAGACAGCTTGTGCATAAATTCGTCCGGAGAATTTGTCATCCATGTAGTTTGTTGTTTTAGCTGGAAAAGTACAAGGTTCAGACGACTGTCACTTTGGGGAGAGCACACAGCATCTCAAACAGCAGGTTAGCCGCTAGGAGGGCTGTGTTTCCTACAAAGAAGTGAAATCGGAACGTGAACACCTCCCGGCGCCCAGCCTCTCGGGACCCCCCAGCCTTCGTCCCTTTGTGCTTCCTCTCCCAGAGCCCCACCGTCCATCTGCACTCCTCTCTGCACCGCCCGACGCCCTGTGGACATGCTTTCCCTGGAGTTCTGCTCCATCAGGATCATTAAGAAATAGTATTTTAAAATTCAGAGGGTTCTCTGTTTACTCCGAGAACAGATTTTTCCCCCAAAGGAAAACCTATAATAATGGTATGTATTGTATTTATTATCTACCCTCTGAGGCTAATAGGCCTAACTCTGGAAGCTTTTCTAAATTAAAAGTATTGGGATGGCATCTGCTTTGAATCTCTCTCCTAAACCATCTAACTCCCCCACCTTATTAATGTTAATAAATATTATCTATGCCTTGAGAATTCACTTTCCAATGAAATATCAAAGGCAGATGGAACTGTGCCGCCCTGTCACTGAACTGCGGGCTAGTTTCTCACTCTTCTGCTGACAGGTGGGCAAGCTAATCATCCTTGGTCGCCCCCCCAGGGGTTTTGTTAGGGTTCATTGGCTCCTGTCTGTAAAGTATTTTCCTCGCTGTTGGACATCCCCAGCAGGTCCCTGAGTTACACAAGACGACCCACCCATCTTCTACTTATTAACTAGATTAATTTTAAACTGGCAGCTGCCTGTGGATCACATTGGTCTCCCTTACTCACCAGAAGGATCATATGGCGGTGAAACTTCCACAAGATCACAACCCACCACGTTCAGGCCTTGACAACCCCGGATGATCTCCAGAGCCTGTTCCAAAAGAAGCCTGAGCTGTCCACAGTGGTCATCATTTACAACAGAAAGCCACCAGTAGAGATTTCTGCCAGCCCAGACCCGCCCTTTGACTTGGAACTGTCGCTTTTCCTCAGTCAATATTCACTGATCACCAGGCATACTGGGGGGCATCACAGAGACCAGCAAACCAGCCATTTGAAGGCCATGCATTAAGGGCTTCAAGAAGAGCAAGCACAGAATAGTATGAAGACATGTAACAGCCTGAAGAGGTGGGGGGAGGCTTCCCTAAGGTGGAAGCACTTAGCTCAAGGAACTGACGAAGCAGATGAGTTGGGGAAGGGTGGCCCAGGCAGAGAGAAAGACACAGGCAAAGACGCCAAGATGGAAGGAGTACTGAGACGTGAGTAGTGAGAAGTAGTGAGACGTGGCCAGAAGACAGAAGTGAGGGGGATGGTAGGGACAGGATCACTTTGCTTCCCTTCTGCAGGTGAAAAGCCAGAAGGTTATGAGAAGCTGAGAAAATGGACGTGAACTGAGAACGGCTTTGAGAGAGACAGTTAAGATGGTCCTTCCTTCTGAAAGCACAGAAAATAACTGATAAGGTTCAAACAGTCTTCAATCATTTATTCCAATATCTTTGAGTGCCTCCTACTGATACATCAGACACTATTCTAGGCCCCAAGAATAGGGCAGTGAAGAGAACAGAGGCACACCCCCCGAGCTTTCCTTCTAGTTAAAACCACACTCCAATTCTGCCTCCCTGTGTTTATGCTCAGCTCACCTATAGGAGCTTTATTTGGGTGTTTCTAAAACTTCCGAACTCCCTTGGGAGGTGGTTAATCCCATTGTGTGTACTTTTAAAATCGAACCCCATAAAGATAACTTTGGTGTTTTGCAAAGGGGGTGCTACAATATTGTCCCCAGGAACAGGTGGGCCAGAGGCAGCAAGATCAAATAAAGGATTATTACATCCCCAAGAAATGAGGATCCTTGCCAAAATCAGTCACTCATCAATCAGAGAGAATCCAAACCTGTGACTGGCCCTGAGAACAGTAAGGGCCCAGGTGCTCTGCCTTTAAAATCCCACCCTGATTCCTGAAGACTCAATTGAAGTCCCAGGAAAGTGGGGAGTTAAGTATCCTCACTCCCAGGAATTGTCACTGGTGGAGCCTCCTTACCTGACTAGGCGTGAGACCAGCAATTTCAGGCGTCCCTGTCCCCGGGGCATAGGCGGGATCCAAGCCGTCAATATCAAAGCTGATGTAAATGGGTTTGCCTCCCATCTGCTGTCTCACTTCCCCCATCAGAGGAACCAGTGACTTCAGCCAGCAGTCTTCAGCCAGCACCACCCGGAAGCCCTGAGAAGGTAGAAATCAAAGAGCAGAGGGTCGACCCTCCTGCACGGCAGCACCTCCTGGGCATTTGCCATGGGCCTACCCCATGCTAAGCTCCCGTGCACCTCACATTTGACCCTCAGTCTCCATGAGGAGGAAACTATCATCCCTGTTTCACAGGTGAGAAAGGGTGGGACGATGACCAGTAAAGAAGCAGGGAGCAAGTCAAAGCTGACCTATGGAGATGGAATCAGTGAAGGTCTTGGCTAAAGCAAGAGTGAGAAACCATGGACAGCTCATGCCAGCACCTCCTGAACAGCTGTCCAGAAGACTGGCCTTTGCAAACTCTAAAAGCAAAGAATGTGGGTCTTTTCCCTTGGGCTCTCATCCTATGTGTTTCCCAATGGATTTGAGGTTGAGAGCTAAGAAAGCAGCCACTCACCTTGCGTCTGGACCTGCTCAGCATTTCCAAGCCAGCATCATCCAAGGGCTTGGTTTGTTTCTGCTTGTCTTCCCTCCCCAGCGATGAGCCCTCCTCTGCCTCGTGGCCTAACATCCTCACTCCTCTCTACTCCACGTGACACAAACTCAGCTTCCGTTCCTACTTGCTGAACTTGATTAGCAAAGCTGCCATTGAATCTATAGCTGCCATTGAGCGGGCGGGCAATGGAGAAGAGGGCACTTTGAGGGCTGGGAACTAAGGGAGGGGTTTTCGCTCTGTCACCTGACTCCGGCTGTATCTGTAGGTATCCAAGGTTGTGGAAGAGCCCCGGATGCCAATCTGCACCACACGCTTACAGTCCAGGAGTCCCTCGTCCACGCAACGGCGGAAGGGCGTCCCGTGATAGAGCTTCTCCCCCAGGGCCATGTCGGCTGTGTCCATGTGAGCGTCCACATGCACCAGCCCCACGGGACCGTGCCTGATGACAACAGGGCAGCTCAGAGGGCAGGCCTCCCACGGGGGCCAAACACAGCCACCCTCCAGGCCACCAAAACTTGATGACAATTCACAGGCATGGAGGGGGGACCTGGTGTCAATTACCAGCCTTCTAACTGGTTTATGTCTTCAAGCCACTTAGCATCTCAGAAGAGCAATAAGCTCCAAGAAGTCAGGAAAAAAATAGTCATTTGCTTTAGCTGACGCTCCCCACCGATCACCCAGAATTTTCTTCACTTAGAGATGGGGAGGGCTGGGAGGATGAGGATAAAGGGTGGTGGCTCAGATGAGCTCAGCTGAAGGCTTCAACTAAACAGCTCCAGCCTTTCTCCAACTGTGGTGCCAAGAAGCAGCTCCCACCCACCTCTCTCTCGATAATCTCCATCAACCCTGCCAGCCACCCAAAATAAACAGACAATCCAAGTCAATGCCAGGCAAACATAGCTTCAAGAAAAGACTTGTACCCACTCACCCACCCCAACCAGAATGCTACCCACGTATCTTTCCTATATATGAATTCTGGAGCTGCACTGCCTTGGCCCGTCTGTTTCTTTCTCAAACTAATTAACCAGAGTTAGTCAATCCCTGGGAGACTTTCATTACTGGAAAAGTCCATATTCTCATCCTCTGGGAAAGGGGCCCTTTCAGGAGAAAACAGGGCCTCTCCTCTGCAAGCAACACCATCGTGCTTGTCAGTGTTTGTATTTGGCCTTTGAAGCAAAACAGAAACTGAACTTAATGGGGGTTATATATTTCACTTGGGGCTCAACTTCCAAAAACAGAAGCAAATGCTGAGTGTGCATACTGGAGCAGATCTAGGGCATGGGAGGGTGGCCAGAGTGTTAAGAATAAATTGTCTTGGCTTCCAGCTGGTGACTGACAGACACACCTGCAGTTCAACCTTAATTTTGATCCACAGAAGCAACTCAGTCGGGAATTTTCTATCACCCCCAATAACCTGGGCCATTAGAGGTCACCTAATGCCATCTGGCAGCAAACAACTCATTCCCCAGCTCCTGAATTTTGAAACCTCGCTTGGGCCCAGCCTTCTGGGACTTACTTTTCTGCCATTGCTTGCAATATAGGATATGTGATGGTGTGATCGCCACCTTCAAAGAGAAAAAAGAAGAAAATATCTGGCATGTAGGTAAGTGGATAAGATTTGAGGACCCGGCATCATCTAGAACAATCTTCAATTTGCCCCATTCTGTCACCCTTTCAATTACAGTGAAGAACTATAACACCAGCTAAAATAAGATGTTGTTCAGTGGCAGGAAAATAGCCACTAAATGTTTGACATTATATTGTCATTTAAAAGAGGAAATTAAATTAAGGCTTACAGGTAAAATGCTCGCAACAGCTCTAATTGAACTTTCCACAGTGATGCACGTGTTCTGTATCTGCAATGGCCAACGTGGTGGTCACGAGCCATTGGCTATTGTGGCTCATGCAAATGAGGAGCTGAATTTATTTTATTTTATTGTAATTAATTTAAATAGCCACATGCAGCTAGGAGCTGCTATATTGGACAGCACAGGCCTAGAAAAGTATTATATTGATAATTAAGAATAACAATAATGGCTAACATTTACTGAAGCTTAAAACATGCCAGACACAAAGCTGGGCAATTTATATGAACTTGCATTATATGCCCCTGGCACAATATAAGGAGATAAATGGTCGGTATTATTACTCCCATTTTACAGATAAGGAAATGAAGTACGAAGAGCTAGTGAGAGGTGGAGTTTAGATTTCAAACCACGCCAGCCAGCAACCTCACTCCTTACACTATGCTCTGCAAGCTAGGTCCTCTAATTAGACAAAAATAAATTTGGATATTTAGAAAAAGGTACATGACTTTTTGACTGCCAGTGAACCGAAAAAGAAACGCTACAGTGAGAGTGGGGTGGGGGTCAGGGGGGTACAAGGAAAGCTGCCCTATAGATTGACATAGACCCTGATGAGAAGAAAAGATCCCCCTTGCAGTTCTCCTATCAAATAAAGTCATTAAAATAATGTCCTTGAAATAGTTTAAAAAGTCACAACTGAGCCCCTGCTGGCAGCCTTCCACAAGCCTAGAATTAAGGGCTGGGACAAGGTGGGGTGGGTAAGGCACTTGCCCGGATGCAAAATTTAAGGGACACCAAAAAAGCTCAGTCATCAAGGTAAATGCTACTTTAATGTAATATTTTTAAAAATCAAAATCAATGCAACAAAGTCCATGATAAATGTTAAAGAAACGTAGGATCAGGAACTGGGCTGTTCTGAGCCCTGTAGGAGCCTGAGGCAAAAAAGGAAAACCGGTAACACAAATTGTTGACTTTTTTGGCACCCCTTAAATTTTGCACCAAGGTGAATGCCTCACTTGCTTCACCCAAATCCATCCCTGTCAGTCATACTATTCCAAAAATTTAAGTATCTTCTCCCCAGGGTTAAAATAAATGAACTAAAAATGTTCCCTTTCCTACTGTCTCCATTTCACAGTGCCTTGTCCTGGAGAAATAAGCTCAGGAAAATAAATTCTGAGCTCAGAGAACTCCACTGGCCCTTGCAGATGCCTTTACCCAAGGTCAGAGGAATACAGCCGGCTACTAGAATTTTCTGATAAGCCTCTCGAATTAGGCGGCAGCTGTCCTGAAGGTTGTAAAGATTGACATTCACATCGCCCAGGTCTGCAACCATGAGGGACTGGAAGGGGAGGGCTCCAGTGCTAGGGTTGGCTGTCCGAAGCAGCACTGATTCCTCGCGGATCCGACGGGGTCCAAATCTGGAGGAGGAAGAGTCATCCTGTGAGCCATCCCTAAAGGTTTAAGGTCCCTGCCTAGACCAGGGCTTCCCAGCCTCTGGGCTGGGGCTGGGTGAACCTTTTTTGGGAGGTGGGTGGGGTCATCCTGTTCATTGCAGGATGTTTAGCAGCATCCCCAGTCTTTACCCACTGGTGCCAGTAGCACCTCCTCCCCCACATTACGTTAACCAAAAATGCCTCCAAACTCTGCCAAATGTCCCCAGGGACAAAATCAACCCCTGCTGAGAACCACTGATCTAGGCTACATAGTGTAGAGATAAAGGCACAGACGTAGAGGCCCACCCACCACCAATTTGCTAAATAGCATTAGGTAATTTCTTAATCTACCTGAGCCTCAATTTCCTAATCTGTTAAAATAATAATGATATTTACCTGACCCTGTTGTTGTAAGGATTAAATGAGGTCATCTATGCAAAGCATCTTGCACTTAGTAGACATTTAATAAAAGGTGGCATTTATAACTTAGACCCATAGTTAAACGGAATGTTGCTGAGCCGAATCAGAAATAGCTGATGTTCAATAATTATGAAAATCGATTTTACTTGCTCTAACTTGACCTTAGGAAAATTGCCTAAATCTGAGCAATTCTTGAGTCAGATGATATTTAGAAGTTTGGGTAAGGGGCAACCAGCTTCTGTTCTCAAATTTAATGTCCCCTGCCTCTGTAAACTGGGGTACCCACAGCCAGGGCCAGGGAATGGGGCGTGGAGAAGGCTGGGTCCCCAACCTTCTTTTCCTTACCAGTGGATGACATGTGCTGAGCCCTGGCGGTTGCTGGATGAGATACGGAGGAAATCAATTGTCTCTCAAAGGATTAGGGGCATTTTGAAGCCAGGCACCGCCTTCCGACCTGACCCTGGGTTGTGGGGCAGTGGTGGCCCGGCTGTCCTGACACGTGTCCCTGAGTCCTTCCTCCTTCGGGCCTTACCTTGCCCCAGGCCGGTTGGAGGTCCCAATGTCCAAGGGCACCCCGACGAAGGCGGCGTCCAGCCCCTCGGGGGAGGCCTGCACGGGCAGCCGCATCATGGA